TACCAAAACGTCAGCATAATGTTTGTGTATTTTGAGAGCACTGTATGTCATTCAGGACTTTTCATCATTTAAAAAAACCCACAGAATCTTAGCGCATCTGCCATGAGATGGCACATGTCAGAAACCACTTCCTTCTCCACAGAAACGGGTCTTTCTAGATCCCACCGGTTTTGAGATGTGGGAAATAATACTTTTTTTCTGCTGTTCCCACTGAGAGCACACGGCTTGTGGCAGTCCGGGGATGTGTCTGTGTCAATTTGTGATGTTCGGGATGTGTGGCCAGGATGTGGGGTCAGTATGGATGTCAGCACCCCTGGTTGACGGTGTGGGAGCCCCTCAGCGGTGTGCACACCCACCCACGGAGCAGCAGCCCTTCGCGGGTGCCCTCCCTGCTGCCAGCCCCTACACACCCATGCTGTCCCTGCCTGCTCTCTGCCATGGCTCAGACAGAGCCTGACCCTGCCAAGAGCTTCTGCTTGTCTCAGCTGGATCAGTTGGGATCCAGTGTTTCCCCACACATCAAGGAAACTAATAAATATGGACAAATTAAGCTTTGTAGCCTGGGAAGGGTCTGTCTGCTCTCTCTGGAAACCAATTTATGGTCTCAGCTGCAAAGCACGAGCAGTGTCATGAACCCCATGTGTCTCGCTGCTGGGGAGTGACAGGAGTGGGACGTTGTGCTGGGACAGATGAGCTGGAGCTGAGCTGGCAGCAGGACAGGCAGGGCACTGCCTTAGCCAGCACGGTGCAGGCCAGCAGTAAGTGAGAGCAAAACAGGTCCCGTGACTGAGCGACCAGATGCAAGTCTCACAGCACTGGGGCAGGGCTGAGGTCCAGGGAGGAGGTCAGTCCTGGGGTTGGGGTCAGAGTCCAGACCGGCACAAGAATGGCTGACCTGGCTCGGGCAGAGACCCAGGGGTCTGTGATTAGGTGACAGTGCTGAAGAAGAGGGAGGAAGCTCCCAGTGAGGCGTCCCCCAGCCCTTTCCCTTCAAGGGCAGCTCTGCAGCTCTGCTACTGGAGAGCTGGCTTGGGCATGGCTGTCACACTGCAGGCACCTCCCTCACCTGCTGGAGGGCTGAGCTCGCTGGCTGCCCTCCCCGCATCTCAACAGGGAAAATCAGGCAGGTGGCACGGGCAGTGCACCCAGACAGCCCTCTGCCTCTGCTCCGGCACCAGAGGAACTGTGCTCAGAAAATGTGTCTTGCGTCGACTGGAAAAGGAGGCCAGGCCAGCTCTAGTGAGCAGCTAGCGAGGCCACCTGCTGCGCCTGGCTGCAGTAATCCCCCGCACGAGACTCTCCCCTCCTCCTTCACCAGCCCCCCGGGTGGCCGAGATGGCCGTTGGGGTGGCTCTGTGCCCACAGGGGTTTACTCTTCACCTGCTCCAGGGCCTCTGCCAGCCCCAGCAGGAGCCCCCAGCTGCCCCCGCACAGCCCACACGGGGCCACCGTGGCCTGTGCCACGGCTGCTGCCAGGTCCGCTGCCAGAGATGCCATATGGTGGCAGGTCACTGGCCCTGGGGGGCATTAGGTGAGGGCCAGCATAGCTCAGGGGCATTTACAGACTCATCTGGAAATGGTCCCTGCCCTCCACACCCAAGTGTGTGCAGCAGTCCAGGGATGAGCTCTGTGCCCCGCTCTCCCCACCGTGCCCCACCCTGCTCGTACCCTGCCAGAGCTTTGCTGGAGGTCCCCCAGGTCTGGCTGACTTCCAGGCTGGTCCCAGGGTGCACATAAGGATGAGAGATGAGGGACTCAGCAAGCCACTGTGCCTCCGACACAACAGCAGTCTTCATCTGGGCAATTTCTACCGCAGGACATGGTCTCTCACCCTTTTTTTTTGTTGGCCAGAACATTCAGAGAGGCTGGGAACAGGCTGCAGATCTCCGGGGAAGGATGTCCCCCCTCAGCCCTTGGCCAGGGCAGGCACAGCCCCAACGTGGAGTGGCACGGGAGGGATTGCAAACAAGCGGGTACTTCCGCATCACTGCACCTAGACTGATTCAACTGGGAGTACAGGGAGGCTGTAGCCCATTTCATCTTACTCTCTTCAGGGCTGTCTGCCTGCAGATGGAGACCCTGCTCTATAGGCCCTTCCGTGGCCCTCGCGCTACAGGGCCTGGCTGTCCCATGCTCTTGAGTGGTTATCCCACCCTGCGAGTCGGGAGGCAGCTCACACCGCAGGGACACCCCAGCCCAGTATTTGGGTACCATTTGCAACTGCAGCACCTTTGTCTTCCCTGGCAGGCACCAAGGCCAGGTCACTTCAGGGGAAGCTGTACCTCACAGCTGAAGCAATCCAGTAGCTCACTGCCCTCAAAGGAGATGGCCCTGTTCCCCCTCCATCCTCCACCATGACCCACCTGGTGTCCCCTGTTGCTTGTGATCTGAATGAAGCACCAGACCTGGCACAGGCAGGATGGAGGAATTGGGGCTGCAAGTGGAGACGAGCTGAGATAAGCCACTAGGTTCTCCTTTGGGAGAAGCACTATCTTACAAGACCAGTCTTGGTCTTGGGCCCTGAATCCCGCCACCCCTGACAGTCCCTGACAGCTGAGGTCACACAGCCCTCAGTCCTAAGCTCCTTTTACAGTGCCAATAAACACTAAACACTTCAGACAAAGTGGGGTGGCTCTGACGGTGGGGTGGAGGAAGCTCCAGGTGGAGGCCGGGGCAGGAGGAGCCCCTGGGAGACACAGGTTCAAACCCTTGCAGGCTGAGCAGTCTTCAGATGATGCCCCCAGCTGGTGCTTTGACAGGAAAAGTCCAGCTGATGAATGACTCAATGTATCCCAAAAATTTTCATGCATGGCCACCTGGAAGCACTCATCTCCAGCAGGGTCCGTATGTGGTCCACTGAAGGCCTGAGCTTTTCCCCGTCTCCTTTCGATGCCTGAGGTGGTTCCCCAGCTGCCTGCACCCACACCCAGTTCTCTCCACCATTAACTGTGGTTGACAAATACTACAGGACACCAGGAGCTCTAAAAGCCAGCAATGCTCAGCAGCTACATCAGCTCTCACCATCGTACCACTGATGGTTGTCCACAGCCAGTCTATGGGTGTGCCCGAGCCTGAGCCCTGCTCTGCAGAGCCCCAGCTCAGCGCTGTCTCCACGAGACAGTTCTACCACATCTGCCAGTGCTTTGCCGCACCCACATCAAACCTGCACTCGGGCAGCATCAGGACAGGGACCCACCATCTCTGCCCCTCTCCAGTGCTGCAGGCCTCCTGCCACAGGCTTGCCTCTTCCTCTCGTGCAAAGCTCGACATGAGGATTAGGCTAAAAACATGTCTCCCACTGCTCTGGATTTGTTGCGATGTTGTACAACCTCTGGGCACCTCTGGTTTGAAGGAGAAATAATGCATCTCTGGTGGGCTGGGAAGAGGGAGACCTCTCACAGTTGCAAGGAGAGGGGAAACTGCAGGAAGCTTCTCTACTGGGGGGGTGGCAGATGAGCAGCCTCATGGTTGCCACATCCTATAAACCACAAAGGAGTTGCCAAAGATGAGCCCTACCTTCCTCCATCTGAAGCTGAACTAACAGAGAAGTTCAAAACCCACCAGTGATCCCCCAAGAGCTGCCCAAACTCATCAGGAGCTGGGGTAGAATGTGGACAGCAGACCTGAGGGCATGGTGTCTATCTGCTGCAATCTCTATCTGGGATAATTGTTTTTACCATTTTTGTTTGCAGACTCTCAGGACATGATTGCAGACAGCAAAAACCTCATGCCAGGCTTTGTGAAAAAACTTAAAACTGGCTGGGAATTCAACAGCACCAGCAAAAGTACCCAGAACCACAAGGGTGCTGGCCCCATCGTTACACTTCCACGACCAGTGGCAGGTCTTAGACAAGCTGCAGGTGCCTCCTCTCTACAAGAAGCCAAAGACGAGCGAGCTGTGTCCCAAGCAGCCCTCTGGCACACACTGTGCTGCTGCTGGAACCAGAGAACAAACCACAAGCTTGTTATGGCCCCAGTTGCTACTCTGGTCGTTGACGTTGACGTTTTAAGCAATCTAGGTATCTGGCCAAGGTGACTGCAGGAGTGATCCCAAGTCTCTGGGGTTTGGGGGCTTTGGCCATTCCGTGTACAATTTGACCCAAATCAGCTCATTTCACAGCAAAGCCTTGGGGAACACGTAGACACCAGGCTACAGCCAGTCACCTGGGAAAGGGCTGCATGAGGTTATGATGGCATTGGTTTTCTTTCTGCTCTCACTTGTTACTGGCCCTCTCCTGAAGGCTACAAGCCACCTACCACCCTCCTGCCAGCAGGGTTGGCGTGAAGCCCCAGTGATTAGGCCAGCACAGGTGATGTTGATCTGCTGCCCTTAGCAGCTTTGCCTGAAGTGCACCGTCTCTTCCCAGTGTTGCCAGGATGTGACCCACCCCCACAGCACCAGCGGCACTGGCAAGACCCAGGACAGTCACTTGTCACCGCGTGGCTGAAGGGGCTGCAGCCCCACCACTCTGTGCAACAAGCCCAAGTCTGAAGCACCAACACAGACTGCTCCCAGCTGCTCCTTGGAGCAGGGACAGAGGAAAAATCAGAGAATTCTCCAGTGTAAACATAAAAATGTTGCAGGTGGGTCAGCCCAACAGCCGATCTAACCACATCTCCAACAGCAGAGACTATGCAAGGGAAGCAGAGGTGGCCCCCTCCTGCAGTACATCCCTTTCATCCTCTGACTGCCCATTTGTGGAGATACTGCCCATAAAATTCTCTAACCCTTTTTTGACCCTGAAAGGCTCCAGAAGCTCCTGTGTAAAGTATTGTCCTTTATCTGTTTTAACCCATTCTCTTCCAAGTTTCATGGAGTGTCCCTTAGTAGCTGCCTGAGAGTTAAGAACAACAGAACCAGCCCACAGCTTGGTTTCCAAGTACATACAGCATGCTGATTCCCAAATGTTATTCATGACCACTGACATCAAGGCTGAAACCTGCAGCTTTGGGCAGACATGATTATGCTTCAGAAATTCACAGAAAAGACAAGAGACAACCACGGAGATTGCATTTATTATTATAACAGAGGAGAGGCTGCTTTACTGATTCCTATTTACAAATCTGTTGGTAAATAATATCCAGTGTCGTTGAGTAGCCTATCTTACAGCCCTGGCAAGAAGCATTCATCTGTAATAGCAGCAGATGCCTATGGTTTGATTGACTGCTACAGCTAAATGAAAGGAATAACATGGATCAGCTATGTGGTGGCCCGCTGCAGCCAAAGCCCAACACAGGCACATGCACCTGCAGCCCCAAGAGCCCACGGGCACCACACGGCTGCTCTAGCCCACAGCGGGGGCAGGATGTGGCACCCTGAGCCTGTTTAACCCTTCAAATTTCAGTACAGCATGGCAGAGCCAGTAACCCCCTGTCTCTACATTTCTGGGAAAGTAGCCCCACATCTGAAGTGCAAGTTGTTCAGCACTTCAGAAGGCCAAACTGAGCTGAATGGCTTTGAAGCGCTGGGATGGGATGGGTATGTAAGAAAGATCCTGGCACATTTTTGGGGGTATGTTCAACAGAGCTAATCCTGACATGGGAGCGAGATTTCCTGGCCCATCTGGTACAAGGAGAGGAACCACAACCCGTGTTCAGCTGGGCACAAACTGAACTCCCACTGTGAAGTTCATCCCAGCAGACAAGTGCTCTGAAAACCCCATTCACACACATCAAGAGACCCAAGCAGCCAGCAGGCTCGGGGCACTCTGCATGTTGGCATCTTATGCCCCAACTTTTGGTACAGATTCAGACATCAGCTTTAAGCCTCACTGCTGGCAGGGCTCAGCTCCCCACTGCAATCAGGAGAGGATGATCTCAGGTCCCCACTTGAAAGGGAGGAGGATGCAGAAATGCAAATGCAACCTTGGATGCTATCAGCAGACAGCATTGCATAAGTAACCCCAACACACAGCTTTCTGCCACAGACCTGCCTCCAGCAGGGAAAACACTTCAAAGGAGTAGAAGAGTAACACGAAGATGCCACAGAATTAGAAACTGCTACTTACTAAGGAACATGCAACAGCATCTGGAAGCTGCAGGGGAGCCGGGGGCGGGGGGAGCAGAAATCCATGTGCTGTCTCTGAAAGACACTGTCCTTGCTGTGCCTCACTTCTAGTGGCACACAAAGCCACAGGGGTTTAACAGCAGAAGCAAGAACACTCTGCTGCCTGCCTGACACCACCCCTGCACAGGCTCCACCACACCTCAGCCACTCAGACCTGCCTCTTCCCTTGCTCTCTGCAGCTCCCATGGAAATTTGGTGGGCAGAGCACAGGTGCCACTGCTGAGTCCAGACAGTATCAGCATTCCACAAGTACACAGCAATGCTGCTGCTCTGCCTGGAAGGGCACATCCGGGTACAGGAGCACTTACTGTTGGGTGCCTTCTCAGCTTTCTTTAGACCCGGGGTTAACTAGGAAGGTGGGTAAAACAGGTACTGGGTCCTCAGCAGAGGGGTCTGAGAAGGATGTGGTACCAGGCTGGAGCCGTGGAGGCTGCTCTGAGCACAGTCTCAGATGCTCTTCATGAAAGCTGGTGTTGGCTCACGCTGCCTGTAGCAGAAAGGGGCTGCAAGGCTGCTGGGATTACCCCTGCAGAGGATATGGCCCTCGTTAGGAGGATGTCAGAGGTTGTTTATCTGTTTGTTGCCAGGTGTGAGGCCTTCCTCTGTCCCCAGCCCCCACACGTGGATGCTGGTTTAGCTCAGCACAGGGCTGGTCCCATATGCTGGCCGCATGCTGCTGTGCAGCTCTGCAGCTGCCTAAAGGAGGCGAGGTGGATGCTGTGTGGATCCGGCCTGCCAGGGCTCCCAGCTGTGGGCTGTCAGCCTCTCCACCCACCAGCAGCAGAGGCTCAAACGCCTCCTCTCCCTGGGCTGCAACGTGCTTCCGCTGACCAGGGCAGTCCAAGGAACCGCTCTGCCTCAGTGAACCCCCGGCACCTTTACATCCCTCTACCAACAGCATCGTGGGGTGTCAGAACAGCACTCACACCTCCAACAGCCTGCAGAGGTGAACCAGGCTGGCTCCACGGCAGTGGGATTATCCCCAGTGAGGCAGCATCTCCCCCAGGACCAGATCATGCCACTACAAGGGAGTGATACCATGCTACCTGAAGCCAGCTCTGCCTCCAGAAGGGAGACAGTCTCACTGCCCCAGGCAGCAATTTCTCACAGATGTCACAGCCCTTTAAATGAGCAACCAGTCCTGCAGCTCCAAGGAGGAGGCCTGCCCACCTCTGACACAGACTGGAAGGCCATGAACCACTGAATCTGGCCTGGCATGTCCAAGGACTTCCTGGTGCTGAACTGCCAGAGTCTTTCAGGAGTGTCTTGTCAAATATTCTTGTCCTTGAGGTCATATACCAGGAGATGCTCAGGGGCTAACCAAGGATGTGACAACAGCAAGGACAATAGAAGAAACCTAAGTAGAGGGGAGAAGACTTTGGGCACCCAGCGACTCCTCAGAGCAATGTTTCGGACCCCAGTGGCTCAGACCAGCCCTTTGATGAAGCTTGTGTCCAAGTGCACTATCAGCATGCGAAGAAAGGACATTTCTTTGCGCGTGTTCTCAAAGATAATGCGAGGGTCATCAGATTGGCAGCGCAGGCAGTTGGGAGCCATCACCATAGCCAGGTTGTTCACATCCATCTTGGTCCTGCCCACATTTGATGGCTGAGCAAAGATCTGTAGATAATAAAGACATTCAACTGGAGCAGTGAAAATGGGCAAGACTCCAAACACGTGGCCTAAGAAGAGGTATGAGAAGAGCAGAGCTGTGGCCTCCCTGAAGGACAGTGCCCCAACAGCGACACATTCATGGGGGAAGACTACTGTGCTCCGACACAGCTGACAGCATGGGAGCCTCAGCACACAGGGAATATCTTGCAGATCTTAACCTTTGGGACTGGCCCCACGCTCTACAAGATCAGGAACATGGTTTATTGCTTCCATAAGGCACAAGGCCAGCTGACCCCTGCTCCATCAATCCCACCTTCAATACAGGCGAGAGGTCCCACAACCCTGCCGATGGCCACTACTGCTGTGCCACTCTCTGTGTCCCGTGGGCTCCTGGCTGGCAGCATGGGCACAGGACTGCGGGGCTGCCTACCTGCAGGAAGTGTATGAGGTAACACAGCACCAGTCTGTTGAGCTCTGGCAAAAGCTGCACTACGGCCACAGCAGCATCAGGGTTCTCATAGTTGCTGATACACTCCTTGTAGAACTGCTGGGGGATCACGGGCTCCTCCAGTTCCCGATACCAGAGCTTGAGAAGAGAGGCTGGGCAGAAAGCAGGATGCATGAGAACAGCTCTGGTTACCTCCCCACCACCTTCAGAGGCAAACTTGCCAGCGAGACAATGCCCCAGGAAACAGAGGGCAGAGAAGGGATTCTGCACTTGTGCTCTTTCACCTTATTTCAGTCTTGGCTCTGAAATTCTCAGGCAGCTAAACTGGCCCGTTAGAGGGAAACACTGATTCTTACCTACCTGCTCCTCCAGAAGTGGCTCCAGGGCCACCTAAACAAGAGGACAGCGAGACCTTGGAGCTAGAGTACTGCTCCCAATGACCCCCAGCCACTCCGCACTGCCCTGCGTGCACAGCCTCACTGCACCAGAGCCAGCTGGAGGCAGGGCTTCCCCTACTGCCCTCAGCGGTTTTCATATGGGCAGTATTTGGAAAGGCAGTGGAAAGGCACAGAATGGAAACTCAGTTGGTGAAGACAGCTTATGTACATGTTCCCAGGCAGCAGCACATCTCCTGGGCTGCTCCTGTACCTTCACCCCTGCACTGCACCGCAGTGGAGGCTGCAGCACGTACCTGGGATGTTGGGGTCACTGAGGCTGCTTGGGATTCTCCACTGATCCACCTGCAACTTCAATGCATTGACTTCATCAATGTCACCAGGTATCCTGCAAATAGAGACACAGCAAAGCTGCTTTTAATAGTGAGCAGGGCAATGTGCCTGCTGTGGCTGCTGGCTGGCAAACCATGGCTCTGAAGCTCCTTCTGGGGCCCCAGGGAGAAGGGAGCACACACCAGAAGCAGCTCCTCAAGAGAGGACAGGTTGCCTGGTTTTAGACACAGCTTTAGAGTGGGGGTAGAAGAAACACTTGTCTCCTTCCCACCAGCTCAGACATCAACTATCAACTAGGCCTCTCTGCACCATATTCAGTCCAAAGATCACAAGCATCGCAGGCTAAATACACCAAGATACTAGAAACCTTTACAAGGCAAAGCTGAGTCTTTTGCTAGGTACCTTAAATCAAGCTTAGCTACTGAAAAACTAGCATAAATCTTAAATAAAACAAAAAGCCCCAAACCCAAACCAGAATCCCTGGTGTTCACCATACAGATTCTTTGTGTTTCGACTCATGTTTTGTGCATCATCAGTACTGATGTGCTGCATTTGATGAACTGCTCTGACAGGGACCCAAGAGTTTGTCTCTTCCCCGCACTGGCCTGCTACTACTGTTGATCAATGCCTTGCCTGGGTACGTGCTGTCCTAAATAGTACAAGTCACATCTATGCTGTCCCCTCTTGCTAATGCATGCAAATGGATTAATGCTACTTTAAGAGGTGATTCCTGAACCTGGCAAAGGTTGGGTTTTGTCTGATGCGTGGCAGAATACTATTCTCAGGGAAGGGGAAGCACATGGAGGTCAATCTTGACTTCTTGGCTTTGAGGACTGACACAGTGCCCCAAAGGCTCACCTGAAAATCCCCTCCGTCTGTTCTCCTCCCAGAGCCAGGACCTGCTGCGATAGCTGCGTCTGCACCCAGGGCAGCTTGTTACCCGGGTACATGTCCTGCTGCCGCAGCATGATTTCTTCCAGAGAGCTGCCGAAGAGCGATGGCGTCACAATGGCATTCCTGGCATGTGTTATCTCTTCCACTGTTGGTTTACGGAGGCCCTGAGGACAGAGAAGAGCTCAGTGCAGCTGAGGCACAGCCAGCCCAGACAAACTGTGATGTGGGGCCAGTGGTGGTGAGCAGCCAGGATGGAGAGGGTTGCACATACACACGGACACCTCGCTGGCCTCCTGGCAGCACAGCTCTCACTCTGCAGCCTCCACCTCCTAGAATCAGGGGGAGTTCAAGTCATCAGGCCAAAAAGAAGCAGAGAAGCTGCTGCCTTTTGGCAGGAGTCCGGTTTGGAGAGTTTGGGCTGGTTTTGCAGGGATTTTGTTGATGTGTTTTGCATGTCAGGGTCTCTGCTTCAGCTGTAGCTTTACCTGCTGGTGTGGGGTGAGGAAGGATGGAGCCCAGCCTGTCCCTGGCCATGGTGAGGTCAGCAGAGGCACATGGACACTGACCCAGCACTGGGCGAGCGCTTGGCCACAGGACAGCTAACAGCCCTCTGGAGAAGGAATTCCAGGTATGTGCAACTCCAGGGAAAGCTTTGCTCTCAGAGGTGCTAAAGCCCTCTGAAAAGCAAGCACCAGGACCTGTTGCTTCTGAAAGACACTGACACTTGAAAGGAGCTTTGAACCTCCCCTGGCAGCGATTTCCAGAAACACAGAGTGCTGTCACAGGGGTGACAGGCTGCCCAGCAACCCCGCAGCTAAGCGAGAGGCACGATGAGGGGAAAGCTCCCCCCAGCCTCTGGGAGGGTGGCAGCCAGCAGGGGTGCCTGCGATGCATGTCAGGACGTTTCCTGTCCTGCCTCCACAGGGATGCCGGGAGCCTTCACCCCTCCCGAGGTATTTCAGCTATTTGCCTGCTGTACATGGAGTCCAGATGGCAGGGAGGCCCCAGAGGGATTTGCAGAAATAAAGACGACCGGATCTGGCTCAGAGACCTAGGACAGACAGGCTAAGGCCCCCTGCCAGCTTTCACAGCCTCACGCAGAACCATGCAGAGGAAAGGGAGAACGGAGGATTTCCAGATAACGCAGAGCACAGAGGGCCCCCCCCCCCCCCC